GGAAAAATACCAGATGGTTTCTTTCATAGCAGGAATATAACGGAACAGGCAAGAAAATAATGATAATGATGAACAGCTATATACCAGCGACATTTCGTGGGGGTGGAGTAGGGAATGGGATCAAAAACAGTAGAGGGAGGGAAATGCACTGGACTATGGTGATGGCACATGGGTGATCTGGTGATGGGAAACCCAAGGGCATTGCAACGGAGATGGAAAAATGCACCAAAATATGTAAAAATAAACTCATAAATTTTTTTAAAAGTCACACTTTTTTCCAAAACAAAGTGACATTTCAATGCAACTGTACCATGAAAAATGCAGATGAATCTCCTAGTCCTTTGTACTAACTCTGAGCCATTTCTCAGGTTCATACCAAGAATAAAGAGGACACAGCAGTGAGCAGCTCTTCAGGGTGTCTGACTGGGGAACTCAAGGCACAGAATTTAGACCTAGCCCTCATCCCACAACAGAAACATGAAATCCTACTACAGCATTGTTCAGTGAATACCAGAATCAGTTCTCCTGTGAACACCCCAAGGGAATGGCACCACTGAACGTTTTTGCCTTGAGAATGACTCATGATATGAATTCAAAATGTTAATGAGGCTTCAGATGACAGCTACTACAACAGAGCCAATAAGCATGACTTCTCAATGACAAAAGAAAAATAATTTAGGGCCTCCCTGGTGGTGCAATGGGTTAAATCACAGCACTATGAAGCGATCTGAAGCCACTGCAGCAAGAGTTAGATCCTCGGCCAAGAAGGTGACCCACATGGCCCGGCAGACCTCCCCTGACCTGCCCGCTGCTCCCCTCAGGAGCGTATTTCAGTAGATCAGCCTATTCTGCTCTCCACTCTGTCTCTGGTGAATCCTCTCAAGCCCCTCAAGCACGCGTCAGGCCAGCCCCTCTGGGGCGTCCCAGGGGAGTTGGCCTCTCATGTGGCCTCTGTCCCCTGCCACACTTCCTACAAGTGGTCGCCCGTGAGCACCTTCAGGCCACTTTCTGCTCACTGACCACCACAAACAGGGAAAGTCACGTGTTTTCACCAAAAGACAACACTTGTAATTCAATTTTCTTGGTTTCCAGTGAATAACATCACAACTCTTTCTCTGGAAAGCACAGGGCTATTTCATTTGCTCTTCTGTAACAGTCATGAGGCGCTCCAGTGTTAGCATGTACAACACTTTTACCAAGGTTTGTTTTAAACTTGGCCTGTAACCCAGTTCTTGTGTTCATAAATAAGCACATCTTTTAAAAAAGAAAACGAAATAAGGTATCAAGTATCAGGTATCAGGAAGGATGTTTCGAACATAGCTAAGTCCAAGAGAGGATTTCCTACTGAAGACGAGAGAGCAGGACTTTCCATTTGCATCTAATTTCCTACAGGAGGTGAAACAAGTGTGCAGCCATGTTCTAGATTCAAAAGATGAGAGTCACTGAAAAGGTTAAAAACTGTTTCAAATACTCATAGATAATTTTAACATTACCACAAAAATAAAGCAAGTTAACTCACGGAGAAGGTCGACCCGCTGTTTGATGCTATGGCAGTGTGGACTTCATCGTGCAGTTGTATGGAGAGCTCCCAGCTAGCCACTTGTGGTTTTATAATAGGCACTCTGAAGGAGGAAAAAAAGGCGAAAGTTAATAATTTTGCATTTTTCTCTCAGCAAACTGATTTTCCTTTAACATTAATTGTGCAAGGTAAAACCATGAAAGAGTATTGCAGAACATTTATTTGAAAAGATTCCATCCTTGGGGGAAAAAACTTTCATACTTGAATTAGAAAGGGGAAAAACGCCAAGACCCAAGGCAGACACAAGACGGGAGCCGTCTTCCTGAGAGGGCTGTGGCTCCAGCCTCTCCTCAACACACCTGTACCTAGTCTATAAGCTGGAGTTGCTGAACTCTGACAGCTCTTCAAAAATGAACCTTCCTTAAGCAACATCACTTCCTTTCCAATATTTGGTTACTGTGGAGGGCCATTTGTTTTTCTAAGTCACAATATTAGCCTCTTCTTTTTCTAGATCTATTGAGTTACTATCTGGTATGTGAAAAACCGCACATAATTAATGTATACATTGTGGTGAGTTTGGGCATATTTATTCTCTCATATTACCATCACCATAACCAAGCTAATAAACGTGGTCATCAGCTCCCCAGATTTTCTTTTATTGCTTTCTTTTGTTTGTTCCCTTGTTTTGACATCATGATGTCAGTTGTAGCATTCAGCTCTTTTCTTGTGTATGATCAATTTACATGGGACAGAAAAGTCAAGTCAGGCAGCCAGAGCCAAACATTTTCTAAGTGTTCTGGTGGCCTTAATTCTGCAGTTTCACTTCTAGGGTAGGTTTCTGTTTGGCTTTGTCTTCTTTTGTTTCTTTATATGCTCCATGAGTGAAATCATTCAGTACTTTACTTCGCCCTTCTTAATTCACTTAGCATAATCCCCTCAGACTCCACTCATGTTTTTGCAAATGGCAAGGGTTCACTTTCTTTTCCTTTTAAAGCTGAGTAGTATCCACTCTACATATACTACCATAGCTTCTTAATCCCCTCCCCTGTCCTTCAATACTTAGGTTATCTTCATAACTTGGTTATTGTAAATAGGGCTATTATGAACACAGGATTGTATTTATCCCTTTGAATTAGTGATATTGCACGTTTCAGGTGGCACCAAGGACAAGAATTGCTGCATCACATGGTACATACATTTTCAATGTTTGAGAAGCCTCCATACTGTTTTAAGGGATGGACTAATCTACATTCTCACCAACAGCATATGAGAGTTCCTTTTTCTCCACATCTTCATCAATACATTGTTTCTAGTCATTTTGATACGTCATTCGCATCAATGTGAGGAGACAACTCATTGTGGTTTTGATTTGTATTTCCCTGATGATAATTGAGGATGGACATTTTTTCATGTGCTTGTTAGCCAGTTGTTTAACTCTTCTGCTGATTTTTTTGATTAGGCTTATCTGTTTTCTTGTTGAGTTATATGAGCCCTTTGTAGATTTTAGATGTTAGCTCTCTGTTGTATGCCTGATGTGCAAATATTTTCTCCCGTTTGGAAGGGTGACTTTTCATTTAATGGTAGTTTCTCCTTCTGTGCAGCAGTTTTCTCATTAAAGGTAGCCCTATTTATTTTTGGCTTTAGTTTCCCTTGTCATTGTAGTTGAATCTCCAAAGACATCACTGAAGCTAGTTTACAGAATGTTTTGCTAGGTCTTCTTTGTGTATTTTATTATTTCAGGCCTTACACCCAATTTTTTAATCCATTTTGAGTTAATCTGTGTGTATGGGGTAAAACAGTGATCTAGTTTGTCTTTCTTTTTTTTTCTCCTGCCCCTTTTTCCCAATGTCACTTTTGAAGAGACTCCTTTGTCATAAACTAAACTGTCCACATTAGTGTGAATTAAGTTATGGACTCTTAAGTCTATTCCATTAGTTAGTATCTTTTTTTATGCCAATACCATACTGTTTTGCTTACTATAGTTTTATAATATAGTTTGAAATCTGGAAACATGATGACCTTTTTTGTGCTTTCCTTCCATCTTTTGTTTGGTTCCAGACCAAACTTTACTCCAGACTTTACTGCAGTGGTCTGGTACCAAACTCACAATATTGAAGTATGCCTATAATTTATTCTAACCTTAGGCAAACTATTTCTTAGCCCCTCGTGTACAAATTAAATAATAACATCTTCATCAAGAACTAAATTAAACAATGCAAGTTTTATGTACCCATCTATTATTATGACCATACCCAACTCTAACCAACACTCTTGTTTTCCTCCATAACTGAAATTCCTTTAAGGACACTGGGCTCTTTCTCCTCTTGCTTCTCAAACTACCACATTTTTTCAAAAAGGATATTCTCTCTCTCATAAACTACCTAGTTATAGTACAAATTTCAAGGGCTCCCTGTCTCTTAACCTATGCTTAGCACTATTCGCAATGAGTGGCCCAGTGGAGATAACTCTATGGAATCAATGAGGACATCTCTAGTTCTGCATAGTTTCTGGAATACTTGGGAAGCTGTCGGTTCTAACATGCTGTTCAAATCCAGAGCCTTTTGCCACAGGAAGCCCTCTTACAGATGGTGGGGAGAGGTAGCTCTCACCCTACAAAATCTCACTCTGTTTATTTCCCAGTGTTTCATTCTGGGTCACATCAGTTTCATGGAATATTATAGTCTGCCCCAGGAGACACCTCATGGCCACAGTTAAACTGCTGAGGCTTCGTCACAGCCTATTCTGTTCACAGCCTGTTCTGTTGCCGCGTCCATACCAGGGAGGCACCTGATCCTTCTGAACCAGTCTCCACATCTGTAAAATGTAGACGGGAGCAGAGCTGCATTGTCTACACAATCCCCAAGAGGCTCTTCTCTAACAATTGCTTTTAAGTTTACATGTTAGTAGTATATAGGAAAAAAGTCCCAGAAAGAAAACAAAGTCCTGAGGTACCAAGCAAAGATGGTCAAGTTGTGGATCTGTTTAAGATTCCACTCTCCTGCAGATAAAATCTGCCAAGATTACATCCAATGTTACATGTTTTGAAAGTTGTTTTATTTTTAAGTAAAATGGGTGGGGCTGGCAAATACACTTACTATAACCATAAATATGCCTTGCAGCAGAAACAAGTCAAAATAAATTATAAAGATAATGCACAGCAAACTGACCTGGCAGATGCCCTGTTCCTGCAAAACCACCAGAACTACATTAATAATTACTTTGAAATCTTGGCATCAACTCCACAAACACAAACATGTTCATAATGGGGACAATTATCTAAAATTGTATTTTTAAGTTGAAGAAAAAGACACATTTATGCATTAATTTCAGATCTCAAAGGAGAGTTTTACCTAGAACTCTGAAGAGAAAGAAAGGGGGGAAGTCTCAGTGCCTCACTCAACAGTCACACGACACAGAAAACAGCTGTCCTTTACTTAAGCCCATGTCTAGTGAAAGGCTGCTGTTGGATGAAAAATTTCATCTATGCAACTTATTAACTACCTGCAAAGCTGCCATCAATTAAGCCACTGCTTCAAAAACAAACCCCCAAAAACTTAACAAGAAGGAGTTCACATAAAAAGCTACTCACAAAGCAAATCAAATAATGGTTCTTTCCCAGGCCTGTCCACATTGATTATCATCAGCCAACCAGAATGGCTGTGCTCAAGAAAATGAATTTTTTCTCTATTTTATGGGGGAAAAAATGTCAGCTGGTTGTCACAAATGTTACTACCACATCTTACACCGCTGGGATATTTGACTCAAAAAAGGTATAAGTAATATTCACTCAAAATTACTGCTAGTCCATGTCATTCTTCAAAGTGGATTTTATCTAACCAAACACTAACAGCATCTCCAGTTATCAGGGATGATAAGCATCTCCAGACATATATATTATCAGGCACTTTGAAAAGCTGGTTTTCCATTGTGCCATTACCTACTTGAGAATGAGATGTGGAGTTAAAACAATGTTAGTGGTCAAAGAATCATTAAGCAATCCTTCATCATAACTTGCACAGTGGGTGGCCTGTAAAATGATCAAGAATAATATGCCGCGTTCCACAGCCACGGAGGTCAGCCCCTGCATACAAATCTTCGCAGGAAAAAAAAGGCCTTCAGAAAAGTGGGCCATTTATCTGAACCAAGTTCAGAGGATTTCCAGCCCGGCAAAAAGATATGTTATGCAAGCACACAGACGTATTCAGTGGGGGGAGACAGGACCCTGCTACATGGAGACTACAAAGGAGGCCTCCCACGGCTCATGAATAAGTCGAGGAAATGATCAGAAAAAAAAAAGAGAGCGATGTTTAGACAGATGGTCCACTTCAAATGCCTGAGACAGGGCATAAGCAATTTTAATGAAACTTTAGCCCTACCATATGAATTGTTTCTTATTTCCTCCAGGAAAAAAAAAAAATTAAGACATACAAAAATTCAGCAATTCACTGAAAAACCCCATGTTCTGCAAATTGGGATGGAGGAAGGGTTACCCATACAAGTTTTATTGGTGCAATAAATGCATAGGGAATTCCTCACAGAGCCATCAGCTATCAAGATGAATATAAAAGGTACAGAATGAGCAGATTAAGGGAATTTTAAGCCGAGGTCTACTGCCAAACCAAACAAAAATCTAAGCCTTATTATGTGAGAACTTACAACACTCCAGCATTAAAGTTCATCACTGCTGACGAAAGATAAAGTAGCATTTTCAGAAAAGATTTCAAAGTTAGAGAGTGTCAGAGTAGAGAAACAGAACTGAACTGATAAGCCATCTTAAATGTGTGCATTCAAATACACGTGACCATGAAGACAGCTTTTCACAAAACAGAGCCCACAGATAATTGGGAAACACCCCCCTCAGTTCGATGTCTTTCGTACTGTAAATATTTACACAAATGACACCTGGATCCAGAAGTGAATGCCACTTATAATCGTGAATATAGTAGTATGCAAATCCTATTTCCTGTTCCTATCTGTAAGGGTTTCAGTAAGGTTCTCCATATAGACTTTGAGTATGACACATCAGGATGGCTGTGGGACATTTACAATCACTAACACAAAGATAATAAGTATCTTGAATCATTCAAGTTGCTTAAAAGTGAT